TACCCTCTTTCGCATGGTTCCACACTCACGATTGTGTATGTAGACACTATAAATCGGTATTCCTATTTTTTCGTAAAAGCGAGGACATAGGGTTTTCCATTTTAAATCGGAAAATTGAAATTTTGCCGAAAGGGGGTGGATGTGAAGAGGGCGATATAGAAACAGATGGAACAACGATTGAACGAGCAGTTGCGACCAATATTAAGTTACATCGCAGCGAATGAAATTGTATATCATAGAATTTTTTTCCAATCTTATTTTTCAATTTAATTCTGTTTTTTAACAGCAATAACAATGAAAAAAATTTATTTATTTATTCACAACGGTAACGTTCAGTTAGCAAATTCCTCTAAACATGTTATTTTTGCATTTCAAAGTCCATTTTTGCTAACGCCTATTTGTTTTTACTTTTCGTTTCTTTAGCGACATTTTTCTACCAATAATTTGACATAATTTTATTTTAAATCGTCGCGAATATGAATAAAAGTGGATCGCTATCGGAGACGGAGAGCTCAAAGGACCAGCTGCTTTCACGCATCATTTACGGTACCCGCTGCCGTTATTCTGAAATGACACCTCCTTCAGGTACAATCACACCGCTGAAAGAAGTGCGTGAAACCTTGTGTCACGCGATCTTCCAAAAATAAGGAAGAGGATACTCTTGGCTTGTGGCACGCGCCATAATGTCCCCTTTTCTTTTACAGCCGTTGACTTTTCAATCGAGGATTCAAGAAATGTTTCTTGAGGTGTAGCAATCTCCCATCTCTCTCGTTTTTAAACCCGATATTTATGCTCACATGTATACATAACTCATGCGTGAGTTTTTATTGTATAATAAGAATTATAAACAATATACTTAATCTTACAATTACATGCATTCTAGACTATTCGGAAGCTTTAATTATTAAAATATATATCATGCAAATTATGTTACTGTACCCGCATTGACAGAAATGACAATGAGGTTGCGAAAATGTTCAGCTTTCACCGTAAAAATATGCATATCGTGTGCATTATAATAAGTCGGTAAAAGTAGGGTCACCTATTTAAAATCAAGCAACGTCTCAATAATATCAGGGTAGATTCTCATATAAATTAACTCAAGCTAATGAACTTTCTCTCGACAGATTTTTTTTTCTCATATAATCTAACGCAATCTAATAAACTTTCTTTCGAAAGATTTTTTCTCAAGCATGTTGTAAAAAAAAATTTGGTTGATCTGCTCTTCGTAAAGTGATGAATAGTCGACAAGGTCCGTACGAATACCAAATTGCTGCAACAATCTGTTAAAACTGCGCGAATACATTATAAGACATCCGCGAACAATTTAATTTCCATTGTGGCGAACATGTGTGTGTATGCGTATGTTGTGTGTGTGTGTGTGTGTGTGTGTGTGTGTGTGTGTGTGCAAGCCTCGGGTGAGTTCCATTTCAGCATCGTCGTCGAATATCAAGCTGCATCTCGACAGTCTGAAAAAGTACGAGACGACGCCGCGACGGGAAGGACTTCTCGGAGAGGGGGGGGGGCAGTTTCGAGAGGGGGCGGTGAAGAATTGTGCGTCGGGGGTTACTGAAACAGAAGTGGGACACTCGCGTGGCGAAAGGGGTTGGCCCTCGCGCACTGTGACAACGGCAAAACTCGAAACGACGTCGTCGTCGGACTTGGCTTCCGGCCATTTCCCGGCTATCGATCCACGAAGCGTTACGACGAAGCTGCCCCACGTGCAATTATAGGTGTATCGTGTGTATATAACACGCACCGGGCGCATTATCCTCGTCCCGCAAGGATGAGCCTCACAAATACGTCGCGCAAATTAGCCTTGTAAAGGCTGATCCTTGATTGATTATACAAGGAGGCTTTAAAACTGTTCGATCACTTATATTAGCAAAGTTATTTTATCATTTGAATTTATTGTCATACTCAGCCACAACGTTTTCCGAGAAATAACATTGTAAATTTGTTTTCGGACATTCCATGTTTTTTTTTGTTATTATACGTATTTATGATGGTACGGTGACATTAATAATATAAATCTTCGTAACATTGACATTAACACGAGCTATATTAATATATCGCTAGTCGTATGGAAAAGAGACGCCAGGCTATTCTTGGCGCGAGATAAATCGGTGTGAACGACTCCAGGTGCATACACCAAGGAAACCCCTCGCAATCGTTCGCAAACCCGTAGCCGGTGAACAGTCGCAAACTGTATACGGTCGGAAGCGACCCAAATGCGAGCACAAACGTAGATTAATAACGTCGCTGCGATAATGAAACTGTTCACGTGACGCGTGAAATTTGCGGCCACGTTCTCCCGCGTGACGTGCCCATCGACCCAGAAATCGATCCAGAAATCTTCCCGGCGCGATCGAACGATAAGTTTGACGTACTTTTTACGTTGCTATTCAGCGAATTTGCACAGCACGAGAGAGAGAGAGAGAGAGAGAGAGAGAGAGAGAGAGAGAGAGAGAGAGAGAGAGAGAGAGAGAGAGAGAGAGAGAGAGAGAGAGAGAGAGAGAGAGAGAGAGAGAGAGAGAGAGAGACGAAGAGCCAGATTTGCCAATAATATCGTTGTCGTAATCGCTCGTTTCGGTCAGGTGTAAGGAATACGGTGAGAGTCCGCCCTACATGAGTATACGACACGAGCGTATACGTTTCTACGTATGCGTGGAATCGATAACTGAGAATTAGTCTGCCCGGCTGTCTCCCAGAATTAAATGCGAGCGTACGGCAAGAGAAAAATTTAGTCGAGCGCCCTTGGGAGCCGTGTATATTCGCGCAAGTTCTGTTTATATGTCATTGCAAATATCGAAAGAAACAATCGATTAACATCACAATTTAATTTCTATTCGCAAAGCTCTTTTTATAAAATATGAAAACTTTATATAATGCTTTTTCATTATCTCGATTGCCATTAATAGTGGGCGGAAAACTGTAAGTTGTGTAAATAAGACAATTCAAATGATAACAAATAATGGACTGAAACTTGAACACGAGAAACAATTTCAAATGTATAAATACTATAAATTATATATATAGGAGTTTGAAATATCCTTCAAAAACTGAAGGACTTAATTCAACCAATAAATGATTAAGTAATGTCTATCAAAATGCGTAAATATAAAGATATTAATTTTAGATAGAAATTATAAAATGCAATTTAATGAATGAGAGAAAATAAATTTAATTGTTTGTATTCTATGCATCTCGTCTAACAATCGAAAATTCAGCACGGTGAAATATAATATTTAAGAACTATTTTCTCAACTGAAAAAAATATAGCAGATTTTTAGTTATTAAAGAAATATAATATTTCTAAAAAATATAATATATAATGACAAAATACTTTCAATAGAATATATATTTTTATTTGAATTTATTTTTCACAAAAATTTTATAATTTTGTCAATATTCTGTTTGTTTGAAGTACATCGAGTTAATTCGGGCTTATTATGAAGAACTTTTTCAACCCTTACGTTACTTTATATTAAGGCACATATACAAAAAAATATGTGTCCTTTATTAACTACATAGTCTCTCAAATATTCTATAGTAATTAAAATCGATGAGAAGCAGTCTAGAAACATTTTTATGGCCAGTAACTCATCAGCTATCATGTGTATCGTAACATCTCTTTCTCTCTTTGCTTTAATATACCATATATATATTCGGAAGTATTGTCCCACAATGGACATACGCGCAAGGAACATGAACCGTTAGGAAAGGGGTGGCAAAGTAAACGCGCGACAGAATAAACGAAAACGTACCCGTACGAGAGGTCAGAGAGAAAGAGAGAAAGAGAGACGGAGAAAATATCACTATAGACGGTACCGAGGATCAATACGTCACGAACACGGTCATAACTATTCGTGCATACACACAAGTGACTACACCCCATACCAACCATCATATTCTGAGATAATTTTTCTGCATATTATATCATAATTATGCATCATCGACCGAGTTGGCCCGCTTCACATAGCGCGTCAACGTAAGATTAAATGTTGCGAGATGAAATATATACATTGTATTTATATAATAGCTTAATACACAAGATAGATCAGAGACCGACAATCTCTTTCTCTCACATTTATTTTAAGGGTTTAGGCATTCCTGATTCTTATTACATTTGGTCCAATAGAGAATGTTCGCAATATTTGTGCGTTATAAATTATAGATAAATCTCCTATTAAATATTTCCTGTCTTGTACGTTTACGTAAACGTATGTCCAAAAATGCGTTGTTTTCACGTTACAGACATGTTTGAGTTGAAACTCAAGAAGACAATTACAAAGCATATTATTTTATTTTTTACAATACAAAATAGTAGAAAATAAAATAAATTTTAAAGCAAATGTTTTAAGTGACCCCGCGCCTCCAGCCAAAATACACGTTTTCATTGCGCTGACAAAGATCATTAATGTTGTCAACAGGCCGGGAGTAGACAATTTGTTTTAGATGTCCCAAAAAACATATGGACACCAGGGAACCACTGATGAACCATCTTGCGTGTCCCTTTAAACATGACCGTAATGTGAAAACGATATGTTCAAACATTTTTGGACATATATTTATATAATTTTCTTGTTTATTTTGATGAGTAGAACACCCCTGAAGCGGTCCACATTTATGTTACACCCTGTATATTGATAACCTAAGGAAGGACTTAAACTACTTTATCTGTTTTATATTGGTAAAAACTATACTTACTTTTCACACCAATCATGATCAAAAGGAAATATTTAATTACACTAAAAAGAATTATATGTGTATTATTTCCTAATATCTGTGTCTTTTTAACATTTTTATTATTAAAATCATTCCGCTTTTAATTGTATCATTTAAAGATAGATTTTCTAATAAAGGAATATTAATTCTCCTATAAAGAATTTCCAGATATAAATCACTATCCGATCCGATAAAATATCATAAAAATTAGTAAATAATCCTGAGATAATTTTCTATTTAAAAAGGGGAAAAAAATTGGAAACACATGCGTGTACATTACTGTACATGTATAATTATTGCTTTTACATGAAGCAAAATAATCTTGATGTACCCACCAAAGAGATATTCTTATCGACTAAGCCCTAGTTAATGCCCATTTACTGTATATAGTGATACTGTTTCATCTTCGATTTCTTGATTCAAAAATATAAATTTTTGACATTTAAAAATTGATAAGTTTCCCTATTTTGGATAAGTATTTAAAAAAGTATTTTTTCTTTACAATGTTTCTTTCAATGTTTCTTGTCCCTTTTCTTGCAGATATGACAAATATCATACAAGTTTGTGAAAAAATAATATTAGTAGTAATGAAAGTAGTAGTGACGCTTTCAACCAGCTTTCAATATCATTTAAATCGGATGTATTCCTTTGTGAAACACTAATTACTTAAGACAACTCTAATTTGATGACATTCACCAAAATATATTGTTTACCTACAGTTTTTTTTTAATCTCCGTGCTTGAGAAACGTTCGACCCAGAAATTTATATCTTTTACATATTATTGTGAAAAAATAGTATTATTATTTTGAAGATGGATTTCTTTTTTTCAATCTTAGTTGGCGTTTTTTTCGCTCAAAATATTAGTTGCCATACTTTATATATATAGAACTTCATATTTATATATAGCACTTCCAGTAAGTTTGTCGTGAAACTCATTCCCCAAGTTTGCGAGTGTATTAGTTGAAAAAGTCTTCAACTTCCGTCAACTCCCTCATTCGTGCTTCATGATGGGCCCAACGGTCTTCTGCCAGTTTATCAGATAATCCCCATTTGTCGTGATAAACGCGTTGACCGCAACTCGGACATTTCTTACCCCCTACAACAACAAAATAATAAAAAGAATGTTTTCTCTATTGTTTCATAATATAATTTGATGTCTAAATAAAAATTTTATTTTTACCATGGAATGGCGGAGTCTTCATGTATGTCACGAGACATTTTAAATGGAAGAGATGACCACAGTAAAGTCTTTCGGCGTGGAAATCCGCATTTTCGTCGGTTACAACCTCTTCTGGATTCGTTGGCAAGCACGTTACTTTGCAGCGTTGACAGGGTTCCAGTGGAAAGGCTTTCACACTCCTAAATTAAAACATAATAAAATTAAAAAGAACTGTAATGGCCAGTCTACAATGAGTCGTTGGTCGTTAGTCGGATGTCGGAAGAGAGTCGAAAGAAATAGTCGTAAGCGTATCATAAGGCAATCGGAAGTCTGTAAACGGTGATCGTAAGAGATGGCATTTGGCCATATAATATTACGCTTATGACTATTTCTTTCGACTCTCTTCCGACATCCGACTAACGACTCATTGTAAACTGGCCATAACAGCTAAAAATATGCTTAGGCAAGAGAAAAAAAATTACTTTATGAGAAAAGAAACAACTGTGTTTAATGATGGTGACGGTGTAAACGGCTTTTGTTGCTTCCTCAATGGTGGATCGACACATCGCCTTGCTAATTCCCTTCCTTGTCCAATTAGATAGCGATTGAACAGCGGTGGAAAATTTGTATCAACATCACCAAAACTGCAAACAAACACACGATGTAAGTTCGTCACATTGGATATTAATTTGTTACGACTGCGTTAATTTTGTAGAAAAACACTGAACATACGTCACACAACTGGTGGGATAATTATCCGGCACTTCAAGCTTGGCCTTAAAATGATACAAATTTTGGTGCAGTGTTAAATTAATGGAAGAATTCTTCTGCTTCAACTTTAACTCATCCTTATCCCCTAAAAGCTTTTTCAGAGTTGATATTTCCTCGTAGCAGCAGATGAGAGGATTCTCCTCGATGAAATTCCTGATAAACTTCAAAACTGGCAAGATCTGCAAGTGCAAGAACTTTTGGTACAAAATGTAAATTTTTAACATAGATGTTTGCTATACATAAGTCCAAGTATAAACCTGTGCTTTATTCAAGAAACGCTTGCACTCCTTTTCGCAGACCCCTGCTAATCCATCGAGCAACTTCGCGGACAGAGTTTTACTCTTTAACTCGACGAACAACGGCGATGCGGGATAATCCTCTTGGAACTGAATGCACACAACAAGTTGCTTGAACGGTGTCTTTCTGCAAGATAAACAAATCGCAGATAACAATGTTGAGAAGCGATTTTTGACGTTAGCTCGAGGTGGAGTTTTCTTACGTTATTTCGACGCGGACCATGCTCCGCACGCAAGAGACGAGGCGGCTTCCGTCGACGACATTGTGGCAAAGCTGTGATACTTCTTGCAATTCATCATCAATAAATCCCATGAGCAAGTGGAGACGCTAGGAAGAGATCCTCGATAGGTTTTGGCTAAGTGAAAACGATCAGAGAATCGACGTAATCATGACATAACCTAACGGTCGAATTCGGAGTCGAATTGCGTGGTAAATAATAAAACGCGATCGGTTTTTACACGGACACGCAGTGTTATTAATTAAGAGATCACTTTTCAATCAATTCTCCTTCCCCCTTCGACGTTTTTGCAAGAGATTACGGGATTTGAAACCGACTGAGCAAGTAAGCACACATAAAAAATATACACACAACACACACACACACACACACACACAAAATTTCGAAATCCTAGAGATGTCACGTGACACTGTTAGTGTTGTGTACTATTTTGAAAGCGATTGAAAAGAAGGACGTTCACACCGGTCCTTATGCTAGAGAAAATCGAAGTTCTCTAGATTTTCTCGAAACTGTGAATATACGTTAATTTAGGTGTGCTTTATGCGTGGTATAAATTTCAGTACCTCTTGGGGTATAAAAATCAAGATACTGAGCCTCAAAGTTTCAATTTTTACCAAAATTTAGTAAAAGTTGAAACTTCAAGGCTCGGTATCTCGATTTTTATAAGAGTCACTTGGAAAAACAAAGGGAATAAATCGAACAACCGAAAATATAAAGTAATTTTTTCTTGTCCTTGTTTCGTAATCTTCAGTATTTTTCACTATTCTTTCAATAGAAGAGTTGAAGTATTCTCTAAAATAATCTAAACTATTCCGATTGTGACCGACAGACACAATACGCCGGCGGCCGGTTGTCGCTCTGCCATACCGAGGTAGTAGTGCAGTAGCTCCATCTGAATTAAATATCTGCGCGACCTAACCTACTCATATTACCACGTGCTCAGTGTGCTCATACCGGTTCGTATTGTTAACAGGCGCAGTTGGAAAATCTAATTGAAGACAACTCGAAGGAGTGACGACATCGCCCAAGTAACGACTGACATTCGTGAAAGAAGAAGAAAGAAATGACAGAGTCGGCTTCAGCCGGCCGTAATCGACATTTGATACAGTACGGTACGTGTAGCGTGGTGTCGTAAGAACTGCAAGGCTCTCTCCAAGATGCACCGAGTAACCGACGCGAAAGAAGTGATCCTGACGAGCGACGCGACGGGGGAGAGCTGGAGCGCCGCGGTGTGGGATCCCCGGAACGGTTCCCTGCTGTCCGTGTACAAGCAAGCGACGGCGCTGGGACATCGGAGCCTTCAGCTTCTGAGCGACAGCTACGTGTTGGGCGCGGACGCCACGCGGCCTCGTATACACATCTGGCCGCTGAACAACCCGACGCCCCTGCCCAACGTCCGACTGACCACGCCGGGCAGGGTCAACGCCTTGGCCTGCACGCCGAACGGCTCCTACATAATCGCTTCCGTGGGCGAGAAGCTGTTCGTCTGGCAGACGTGCAACGGCAGGCTGCTGGCCAATCTAGCCAAGCACTACCAAACCGTCACCTGTCTGGCCACCACGAGGGACGGTTCATTGTTCGCCAGCGCCGGCGAGGACGGCCTGGTGTTCGTGTGGTCGCTCTACAGCGCGCTCAACGACGCGCGTTGTTCCCCCGTTCACGCGTTCTCCAACCATAGCTTGCCGGTCAGGGACCTGCACTTCGGCCACGGTGACGCCCGCGCGAGATTGTACACGGTCTCGCTGGACCGAACGGCGAACGTCTACGAGCTCGGCAGCGGAGCTCTCCTGCTCTCGGTGGTGTTCGACGCGCCGCTCACCGCGGTCACCGTCAACGACCGCGAAAGCGAGCTCTTCGTCGGCTGCACGACCGGCGAGATATTCCTGTGTAATCTGCACGAGCCGCCGCGCGGTGTCGAGCATCACGTTATGGTGAGCTCGAGCAACGTGGACGAGGACGAAGAGAGCTCTGTGTTTAAAGCGCACAAGTCGAACGTGACCGCCCTGTCGGTATCCCTGGACTGCTCCACTCTGCTGTCCGGATCGACCGACGGTGCGGCCCATATCTGGGACATTGCCAGCCGGCAGGTGCTCAGGACGTTCCAGCACAAGGGACCGGTCACCGCCGCCTTCTTCGCCAGGGGATTCGACAATTTTCGCGCCCCTTTTCTCAAACCGCGCTTGCAGGTGCACAATCTGCAGAGGACGTCGGACGACGGTGGTAAGGAGAGCGTCGTCGAGGTCGTCGCCAGAGGACGAAACCCGGCGGAGATCTTGAACTTCGAGTCCTATGCGGAAGGCAGCGGCGATTCTCGAGGGTCGGAGGAGACGAAGAAGTTGGAGGATCTGCAGAAAGAGATTCAGAAGTTAAAGAATATGAATGCCAGCCTATATAAGTACTGCGTCACGCATATCCTAAAGTCCTAAACACATCTTAAAGATAATCGATTAATAGTGGAAACATTGGATCGCGTGATTTCATATATTTTTTTTCTACGAGACTGAAATTTTAATTTGTTTTGTAAAATATATGTATAGGATAATATAAGGATGATATTAGACACGACTTTCTTTCTATGAAAATAGGTTTTATTTCGTTGAAAGATATATGCAATAGCTTACAAATTGTAATAAAAAAGATTTAAAAATACAAATTAAAACATTGTTTTTTACCTGAAAATATTTTTTATTTATAAATTGTTTTATGTTTCCAACAATAAATGGATAGATTTTATTATTTACCATCTGTACTATGCTTTTTATAACTTTTTAAAAGAAATACTTAAATATTTATAGATTTACTCAAATATAGATTAAGAAAATCTATTTTAAATTAAATAATCCAAATTAATTTTACGAGATATTTACGTTTTCCTATTATTATCTGCAAAGGATGTAGCTAATTACCCGTATTAATTAATACTAGACCGGAAATTAATATCTCTGACGAACGATCCGCCAAGAAGCTATTCTTCATCAACCCACTTAAAATACGATATTATAATTTAATCCTTTATTGATGCGCCACAAAATTAAGGCATTGGGGAAAATAACATTTTATTGCCAAGCTCGAAGAGATACTTTGTTTCCTGCAATGTTCGATGAACCATCGGCACGGTAGAGCAATATTGTTCTTCGCCATCTCTTCGGCATTTTCCTTTTTCTTTTGTAGTGATGTAAAAAGTTAGCTGCTGATAAAACGCGCAATCCTATAAAAAAAATAAAAAAAAAATTTAAAGCTTCTAAATCTTTGAAAAGCTCAATCTGCACCACTTTCTTCGCTCGAAATAAATTCACTAAACACATGTCGCATGTCACCATATCTGCCCCTATTCATATCCGTGTATGTGTATGAGGATACACGTGTGTACAATTAATTAAATTGTAAGCTGGTGATAAACGTTAGATACGATCCTCATCGACGCTCCTTTATATTTAAATGAGTCGTTATGCGCATACAAATGAAACGCTCACTAGCAGTCCATCGCGGATAAATTAAACTGCGAGACCGGAATCTTCGCACACGAGACAATAAGCCATCAGTTCATCTAATTTTCCGGTATGTCGTGACTTCGCAAATGTTAGGCGTATCAGTCGCACCATGCTTTTATTTATTTTTCCAGAAGACAGACATTAGATAATAAAACCGATGAATGACGCTCACAATTTCGTTCGAAACTACAATAAACTGCAGAACGATCAGAATTAATCTTTTTGTTTCTCATACTGTTAGTAAATTGATTTTTCATTTATCTTCGAAAAATTCTTCATAAAGCGAAATAAATTTTCCCGAGAAAAATTCTCACGGAATAATTTTTCTGTGTATAAAGAATTTTTCGAGAAATTAATTTATCACCTCTGTGTAATTTAATATATATATATTTTTTATCATCGTTTACACGTGTCAGTTCTGAGAAGGCAATACGCACATAAATTAAATTATTTACGCCCTACCTAAAGTTATAAATTCCTAATCTTCGTAGGGGTAAATTGGCTTTGCCGTTTGACATTTTTTCCATTCATTTTTGAAGAACCATGTTCCATTTCTCCGTCGAGTCAGATATACCCAACGTGACCGGATGTTGCAGAAATAGCGCGAAAAAGCATTGCGAGAACGTTCACACACGTTAGGGAGATTATCCTGAGACGGGAAGATCGGGAAAACGTGTCGAGAAAATGTCACGCACGATAATGCATCATAATCTGTCGCGCGATAATCTTATCACGCGTTTATAAATCTATATATTATCCCACATCATCGTAATGCGGCCTCTTTTTACACCTACGTCGGCATCGACCGAATTACTGTAATCTCGGTAATTGACGCATTTGACGCATGCGGCGTTTTAGCTGGAATATTTGAAAGTGCGTCTAAGGATCAATACTTTTTTTTTAATAAATAGGACCCTGAGGGTCCGCACGTGCTATATCAAAATCGACCGTGTCGTGAAAATTAATAATATATATCTTCAATACGACTGTGTATAAAGTAGCGATTGCTATATACATATATGAGACACGTGTCAACGAAAAGTTTTCGGAGATCAGAAATGTTGTAAATACTATATACTACATTGACAAAAACAAGATGGACTTTATTAGTCGGTATGAAAAAAATTTGCTCGTTCTCTCGCATGAAAATATCCTTGTAATGTAGAATGTATTTTTTATATTTTCATGTATCCCATATCTTTACATATGCCATTCATATTTTATAATTTTATGTCATATGTAAGACCAATCAAGATGATTGTCAAAATAGTGTTGTAAATGTAATACCGTAATACTAATCATTTTTATAATAATTAATGCTATAAAATAAAATTACATCGAAATTACTGAAAAGCTGCTTCCGACGAAATCTTATTATTTTGCCAATTTTAAAACGGCCGCAGTGTATTTATCAAATAAGAATTTATAATAATTCAATTAATATTATTATTATTATTATTATCATTATCTATAAGAGTCTTCGCCATATTATTTATTTTACCTTATTACTTTTTTTACTTTATAAGTATTATTTTGGTACCTGCTGATTGTGTCTTTATATTTGATGAAGCAAATCGGCTCATTGTCTTTATGAGACAATAATTTTGCGTTTTGTAAATTCTGCTATTAACCTTCCAGCGAGCGCGTGGAGTGTATTTTACACCCCAGGTTTTTTTTCCTAACGAGTGTTCTAGATTTATTTCGATACAGAACCGATTATTATCGAAAAAACATTAAAATTAAAGTTTCAACCTGTTTTAATATATATTTTAAGATATGTGCAACAATGAACAATATTAAACAGAAAACAAAAAATATTAATTGGTTTAATATTTATAAGCATAAAAAATGTGAGGTGTAATTTACACCCTACGTACCCTTTTACGTTTCAAATTTTCACGCGCTCACTGAAGGGTTAAATAAATAATTTCTGATTATTCTCGTTTTGGATTTCGAAATTATGAGATTGATGAGATTGAGACAATATTGATTTTTTACTTGGAAAAGATTTAATGGCGTGTTATGCAGATCGTGAAAAAGAGAGCATCTCGATATAGCGCACATTATGTATAATAAAATATATATATATATATATATATATATATATATATATATATATACATGTACATATGCACGGATATATGTGCATAAACGCATATATATTATACAATTATACATATATAATGTGCGCCAACGGGACGCTCTTGCGAAAAATACATTGGTCTCGCAAGGAGTAGGGGTGAGAGGACACACGCGGACGCTCTGCGACAAGGGGTTTGAACTGTGGGGTGGCAACTCCGTGATCGGGTGGAGAGGCGCAAGGTATAAAATCGGACGTCGGGTAACAGGAGGCATTCAGTGTCGGTGCGATTCTAAGCTTCACATCATCGCTACTTAGAATTTCGATCACCGGGAGTCATAGAAATGCAGGACAACTGGTTTTTTATCTTCGTGATCCTTCTGGCATTTTCTACGTCGCTAAATCGTAAGTCAATATCGCGAATTTTGCAATTAATTTAAAAAAAAATATTTCCTCTTTTGACCTTTAGTCATTAACGTTTGGCCCCATTAAGTCGCACATTTTAATAGAAGAATCTGGAGAAACATTGTTTTTTATATCAAAATTTTCAAACTTGATTTTTTGATTAAAGTTACTGAATCTTTATATAATACAACTTTTTATAATATTAGCTAATTACTTTTATAAGTTACATAATTAAAAGTTAAAGCGTCTTGATAAATTAAGATCAGCTTAAATTAACCGACAAAATCGATTCACCTGGTCCGGATACTAAATTCGGATTTTAACTCGAACCTTAATTCAAAATAGCTAAATATATAGAAATATATATAGAAATTGTAGAAACAGTCGATTCAGTGTCAAATTGTCATTAAAAATGATTGATATCATAGAAATTGTAAATGAAAAAAAAAATGAGCGACAGCAGAAAACTTCTGATCTAATATTAAAAGTCACAGTTTTTATTCTCTTGCGAATAATATGTTAGATAATTCATTCTCATTGAGGCCAAACAGCAACTTGGACGCAGCAGTTCCCAACGCGAAGTAAAAAATGAAATAGGACGGGGAATTAAAGTGCAAAAAAGCCGTAGCGTCGAAAAAAGAAAAGTATTATACTGAATTCCCGCAGGAAATCGTTAAGCGCCACGAGTGCGAGTGTAGATTAAATTGTTAGGGATTATGATGTCCGACTTTTGATGGAAAAACGTCGACGACGTCCTATTTATTTTGCAGTTGCCAGATGCTCGATCGGCCAGCACTACGAATCCACCAGAGGCAAGAAACTCGCATGAGTGTCGCATACTTTCATAATTTTGTAGCATTTTTTTGATATAAGTTTTTATGACTAATTTTTCTTATTGTTTTATACATAAATATTAAACACACACATACACACAAACGTTCTAACTACTGTCACAATCAAAAGGATGTTCTTACTCTTTTACATTTTTGTTTAATGTATTTCAGACGTCTTTTAACTTCTTGTGACGCTTGAACGTGTTGCTGATTGTGACATCTATTTTTTTTTTAATTATAAATACTTAGTAATTACATCTTTATTCAAATATATTTATATTTAAATTATTAAATTTTTATTTGAACTTTTAATAAAGAATATAAATATTTGTTTTTTTTAATATTGTCATTTACACTTCCAATAATTTTTAATATATTTCACACATTTATAATATTTTTTATCTTTTATATGAAATATTATTTTTAAATGCTTTTTAGTGAGAAGCACATATATGTATAAAAGCACACGCACAAAATATTTCGCTTTAGTTATTGTATGAATTGATTGTGAAAATAATTTATTCGCCGGTAAAATAATAATTGTAGTGTCTCCTTTTTTATACTTTTACACATTATTGTATTATTTGCGTAATGAGAAAGTGACTTGGATAATTGATTGTTAGCACAGGAAGGAGAAAAGATTATTATATACTTTTCGAAGAAAAAGCAGCAAAATAATTTCGAACGATAGATATGTTCTAATCGGTCAGTCTCGCTTTACATTTCAGAGGGCCAGAAATTGAAAATCAACGATAGACGATCTGCCGGATTGGTGGCGTATCCGAGAATTGGCCGAAATTCGGAAATACCGAGCTTTCCTAAAACGGAGCGTACTTTCGGAATAATACATAAGCCCAGAGTCGGACGATCCGATGAATCGAGCTTGGGCAATTTGAATCGATTTCACGATTTACCGGCCGACGCTGACATCGAGTTCTACATTGCACGCGACATGGAGCCCGAAGTTCTCTTAAATCTTGATTACGAAGGTGTGGGGAGTTTTATAAGAAAATTTCAAAATATTACAAAGTATATTGAACCTTTAAGAATTATTTCATATGAAGATTATCGGGAAGAAATAATCTTATAAACGAGAATTACTAGAATTTATAGGAATAACTTTAATAATATTATTAACAACGAATTTTTTTTTAAGTATAAATTGGAAGCTTGACGATATTGCCGCAAAATATATTTTAGCATGCAAACGTCGGATGCACCGATGTTACCGTAGAATAAACGTTTAATGCATTTCACGTCAGATCAATATCCGCGCGATGCCGTTATTAATTAAAACGGCTTTTACCGGATTGAATAAAATTTATGGAAAAATACGAGCACGAACGTATACATATGTACGAAACAATGCAGCATTATGTGGCATGCGCGCATGCGATCGCAGTTTTTAACGAGTTGATTTGAACGAGACGCTCGCGGCGAATGATCTCGCCTCAGGATCTCGTTTATCGTTTTTAAATAAAGCGCATGCAACGAAATATATATGTAGACATATTTTTTGTCAAATGGGAATTCATTTGTTAACTCCTTTATGCAGACTATGCGGAGAGACCGATGGCATTTAAACATGCTGATAAAATTCAGAAAGACGCCTCCTGGTTAATGCCCGATCACGTACACGGATACAAGGATCTTCGTTTCGCACAAAAAATCGACGAGCCTCGATCGTACTACTCTATTTTACGAGGTATGAATAAAAGGATCCTATTTCCACTTACCCTTCATTATATGAAAATGTTAATTAAACCATTGATTCAAGTTAGACCGTGATTTATTAACGCAATTTGCGATTTAAAATTTATGAAAATAATCAATTGTTCCTTAAATTGATTTTGTTAAAATTGAAATATTGAAATTTTTGTCTCTCAACCCTATATATGCATTGTTTAAAAGACTAACAGTACGTTCGCAATAATGAACACTTCTTTAAATGTTACAGACGGTATTGATCACATTATTATCGCTAAATTAAATATATTCTCTCGGAATACTCGGGACACGTCGCTATGTCGAATAGATATCGACTGTCATGCACGACGTCATGTTCGTTCTTTGACATTATGCGAATTGCTTTTTCCATAAAGAAACGCGTCTCGTGTGAGCGTCACTGCTTCATTAATCCTTAAGTGCGAGAAATTTTAGACGGTCCACGTGCGATTTTTCCGCTCTGTCACGTGATTGATCTCTTTTCAGGTTCTCGAAATAGTCAAGGTCAAGGAGGGTACACTCCGAGACTGGGTCGCGAGAATGAGCACGACGCTGCGGGTTTCCTGTAACTTGCCCCATCTCTCTGATCACGATTCGCGCCTCGCGGATTTGACGGACGTTGACTCGAGAGGCAATGGAAGGAACTTACTGTCAAATACGTCAGGAACGTTAACGTGCGGTGCTTCTGATTGTTTTTCCCCTATTTGCATAGGCGACCCACCTTATCCTTGCACTTTGTACGCAAGTTATGCAACACAATACATAATCTACACTTAAATACTGCAGTTTATAATCTTACATGCAATCCTCTCGCCTTGTATCGTCACGAAATAGAAATTCTCGGAGCTGCTTGAAGCCCTGGCGAAAAGCGGCCCGATCTTGATGTGACTCGGCATGCTATTCTACCCAGATTTCTATCCCGAGATACTCAATTTAATGTTCGTTTTTATATGAAAATAATGGAGAGTGGAAATAAAAATTTGATTTACATCACGCTGAGCTAATTGGTGATCTGTTTTGTACATATTTTTTGAAAAACTCAATTAAAAATGGTGTGTTTTGATTTCTCATGATTACTTGATTACATATAACAACTTACAATTTACAAACAGATTCTACTGCTAGTGGTAATTGAAATTTGGTACAATACTTTTAATACATAATAAAAACCGTGGCCAATTATATATATATTACAGGTAAAGTCTTATAGGAAAAAAACAATCCTCCTAGTTCCGTTTTATTGTTAGCGTATAAATTGGGTACAGAAAAACAATGCCATATTGTTCCAATTTTCAATACTTGCGTTGATTTTTCCTTTGAAAAAATGTGATTTACACGCCGATGAATATAATACGGTTACCCATACATCATTTTCGCACACAGAGTGCACAACGAACGTAATGAGACACAATACACAACAGTAACTAGATGTATGTAAAATTCAATGATTTTATTAATTGACAAAGTGTTTATAATGAATATTTCCGTGTATAACGCGCCGGCATGCGCGCGCGCTCGATTTTACAACGTCCAGGTCGCGCGGAGTACACGAATGTGTGTGTATGTGTGTGTGATGTAATAACAAATATGTACACACGTAGAGAATATGTAACAAACTAGTGATACACTTTGGAGAATGAATGGAAGGGGAAGATAATGGAGACGCGGCCGATTCGCTCGCGCTAATCGAAGGTCCATTCGTCTTGAAGAAGTAGTTGTGAAATATATACAAACAGTCTCGCCTCGCTTCGCGGGGAAGGGGTTATTGTTAGCAGACTAGAAGAGACTTAGATCCTAAGAGGTTTCCTCATCACGCATCCCGTCAATCATTCACACGCATTCATTGTGGGGCGCAAGCGGCCGCGGGCAGCTGCTGGCCGGACAAGCGGGCAAGGCAGGCAGACAAGCATAGACAGACAGATATTCGATAGGTCGGACAATCGTGGCCGATATCAGCCCCTCGATCGAACGCTCCGTATACTAATCTCGGTGACACGCCGACCGCGACACGGTGTGATATCGATTTTCTCTCTCGGCGCTTTCTCCGCATTCGCGCTGCATGGGAAGAACCATGTCGACTGCACCCGCGGGAGATGTCTAATCACGACTACATTCTCTCGTCGTTTTCCCAAGGGGGTGTCCAGCTACCCGCTGATAACTACCTACTCATGCGATCTGCGAAGTGGCCAACCAAAAATGAGTGCTTTCCATTCAGTAATAGAAATCAATTAACAAGACTTCGTCCGAGCTGTCATTTTTGCTTCCCATTTAGTCCATGTCACGAATCGACTCGCACTAATTCTGTTGATAGTGAAGATGAAGGAAAGGGAAAAAGGAGACCTAAACGATTATATTCCGACAACTTGTCAATAATCATGTTATTAGCAAATAATCTTCACTTATCTGTTTAAAAAATCTAAAAATTTGTTAAATTACAAAAAACAAAATAAATATTATAAACAATTAGTAGAGTGTTCGCTTAATATAACGTTATGGCCGAAACGTTTGTTATTATTTTTATTGTTCGAAATATATTATGGTAGCACAAACATCCAGCTAGTTCGCAAGCCCTTTGATTGAATTTTATAAATATTATATATGTTTCGAGTATAATTAAATCGAGTGTATATAAATAAATTTAAAATACAATTGGAATTATAAAGCAATTTGCTATTATATCATTATTATAAAATTTAATTAATTTTCTGCATTTTAAAAGTTGCTCGAAACATTATACATATTGTGTATACAAGTGCACTAATTTCCGCGCGTGATAACTTTTTCCATTTATCGTATTTATGCTAATTTAAATCGAGACAAGTAGACTATAAATTATGTGAATGGAAAACACCCATTGTACATCGACATATGTTGACCATTTCCTGGAAATTGTTTACATATTTCTTGTGTCAATGTATAATGAAATACTCGAGAAGTTACTTAGAGATATGCTATACTCATTATATTTTTCTAAACGCAGTACGGAAATCCAGAAGATGATGAAAAAATATCAAAGACACTTTTACGATGTCTTTTAAATATTCAAGTTATATCTGCATTTGATTATTACTCAGATGTTTGATTGAGTTTGATATCGTCTTTTATATAATTTATATAACAAATAGAGATTAGATGCATAAAAAGCGACACAATTAATATTGACATTTAACGATAAAACTTTTAATTGCTAAAATATTATGTAACTTATCTTTATAAATAAATGATATTTCGAAATTTTGATTTGATATAAATGGCAGTCTAGAGTTGCGATCAATATTTGACGCTGCAAAATCTTTAATGTCCATTTTAATGATCCAGCGAATGCATAACGCCGGGATCAAAAGTCCTCAATCAATGTGATTCTAATTTGATGTCACTGTTAAATTTGCGACACGTGAATGATTGGACATATTTTTGAAACTCCACCGAGGAGCGTATACGGATCACCCGTTCGAAGCGATTCGCGTGCATTCTCGAGGAGTCGATCGGTGAGCGATATTCCTGACGCGGTTAATATTACCGCGCGCTAATTGTTGTTATCCAATAATACCCGGCCGATAATGGATATTATATTGCTCCGCATCATACTGCTCCGCAGTATGTTGGGATAACGCCATTAGCGGAATATTATCGATTACGAAATCAATGGCGGCGTGGGAGGAAGGTTGCTGCTTTAGAGGGAAACGAACTCGTGCGGCGGTTGAATGATCCGCGGCGGTGGCGGCGGCGACAGCCGCAGGTCCAGATCCGTCATGTCCGTCAGCGAGAACGCTGAACTGCCGTTTGCCGTGATGCGCGGCCCCATATTGTCGTAAGGCGAGCCGACGGCGACCTCGGCGGAGCGTAAGGCTCGGCGCGGCAGCGTGGCGAAGCTAGAAACGTTGATCGCCGCTGACGACAAGGCCGCGGTCTTGCTGCTGGCCGACACGGTGGCCGTGGTGCCGCTGACCGCGTGGACGGGGATATCGAGGAGGTCCGGGTAGCAGCGCTCCGATGACGCATCCTGCGGCAGCGACACGGAGATAAAGATGTTGCCGAAGATCCCGGCTGGCAGGACACCGGTGGTAAATTCCGGCGGTGGGGGCGGAAATACCCCGGCGGCGGCCGCGCACGGGACCGCGCGAATGGCGTTCACCGAGCTGTCCGCGGGTCGCAATCGTTCGACGGTGACCGCGGCCGCGGCCATCGGGTCGCAAATGGAGCCGCGCTCCGCCAGCTCGAGGTCACCGGTGCTGCACGCCTCGCCGAGGCTGTCGTGATTGCTGCCGCGGTCGTTGCTGTTGCCGGGCGTCGTGGTGGTCACGGACAGATCCAGCAGCTTCTTCTCCTGGTCGCCGAAACTGCCGCTGCTCTGCAGCTTCACTTTCTCGCGTTTGCTCTGCCGTCGACTTCCGCCGCACAAACAAAGAACCAGCAGTATGGCCGAGATGGAAGCACACGCGGCGGCCGCGCCGCCTCCGGCCAGACTCACCCAAAGCAGCCAGTTGTCGCTCTGGGAGAGAGTCGGGGCCGTGTAGACGCGAGGTATCGCCACGTTGACCGCGTCTCGCGCGAGACCGGCGATATTCTTCGCAAAACAGGCGTATTCGCCGGCATCGCTGTCGCTGGCATTGTAAACGGTCAGATTGCTCCATCGGTCCGCGACTGTTCTGGACGCAGACTTGTCGTTGGAAGGTATCGCGGCCTCGGACGTTGTGTAAACAACGAGAGTCCCCATGTAAGGTTGATCAGTCGATTTCGTAGCATTGACCGGTCCGCCGTTTAGTTGCCACCAAACTTCTGGCTCGGGATCGCCGCTCGTTCGACACGCCAGACTGAGATTACCATTGGTCTCCTCCTGTATGCTGCTCGCCAGAACGAATACTTTTGGCTCGCAGGCGAATTCCGTAGCTTTCACGTCCTCCCACCTGCGGCCTTGCAGTCTTGGTGGATTTGAACAGATCTGCGGTGCGGAGTAGAGCTTGCTGGGTGTGTCGGGGATAAGCCAGGTGCGGAAATCTCGCAGTCTGCAATCGCATCTCCACTGATTGCCATCCAGCGTTAAGGTTTTCAACCGAGACAAGCCGGATATCACCGGGGCTTCCAAATACTCTAGTTTGTTAGTGTCCAACTTTAAGAATTCCAAACCGGCTAGCTGGGCGAAAGCCTGTCCGTGTACCTCGGTTAAAGAGCACCGCTGCAGCTCCAGATTCCGCAGATGTTGCAGCATAGGAAACTGTAGATTACGCAAAGTACCGAGCGGATTCCCGCTAAGTATCAGAACGCGCAAGCGCTCGTTCCCGAGGAATGTATTCGGCTCCAGGACCGTCACGTGATTGTCCGACAGATCGATCTCGATGAGTATTCTCATGTCTTTGAAAGAGTCCGCGTGGATACTGTGGATGCCGGCGTTACGCAGAAACACCCGCTGCAGATTCACCAGGCCGGCTAGCTTGAATATCTCCGCTTGCAGAGCGGGTATCCTGTTGCCGGATAGGTCGAGCACTTGCATGTCCGGGTCGAGGGATGCCGGCAGCGACGTCAGGCCGGCGTCCGGGCACAGAGCGGACTTCTTTCCGGAGGTCCACTTGCATCGGCACACCGCGGGACAGTCGGTCCAGTCCGGGAAGGCGGCCGCCCGTGACAGCAAGGCGAAACACCCCGTTAAAAGGAAGAGGGCGAGTAGTATGCGCCCTCCTAGAGGGTGAGGCCTTGTCACTAACATAACACCGTCCTTTTATCGGTGTCTACCCGATATCTGCTGATCCCGTCCGATCCTCTTCTCGCCTCGAGGCGAGAACAGGCAGCTGGCTCCACCGCAACAGAGCGACGACGACGACGACGATGACGATGACGACGACACTTCTTCGTTTCACTGACGACCTGCAAAACAAAAGCATCGTATCAGCGTACTGCTTCGTGATCGATTGTTTGTGTATCCGATACTTTGTGGTTGTCGCGACATCTCATCAAAGATTCGCGCTCGAATTTATCGTCGTTGATCACCGTTAGACAAATTTGAACGAAAGAAGGAGGCGAGTGCGAACTGCTATCACTACCGGAAAATAGGAATTTAATATAGGCGGAAGAATAGAACGTCGGCGTACAAAAGATGTCGCGCATAAAAGAAGAAATATTACATTGCTGGAATAATAGATAGCTCGCGACAGATTAGAGAAGAATCGTTTCGAGCCGGGAAAGAGCTAATACGAAACGATCGTTCATCACGACCCTCGATTTCTAGCGAATCTGTAATTTTATATGCAAGACAAATTTTATATGCAAGAACTTAATATTTTTGCACGAAAGTTCGTATAGCTGTTTAAAACGGATGATTCCGGAATGTATGGAAACGTCTGGCAATGTCGCGCAAGTGGAACAAAAGGGAGAAAACAGAATTACGGGTATAAAGTTTCTCAGTCTTACTGGAAGGTCTCGTTTCTGGCCGTCTAAGCGTGCCGTCCGCGACACCGAATAAGGCCGTCATGCTCGCGTGGACGCTTCCATTGTTTCCCTCAGGAGTATTCATTTTGCAGACCAGTTCGCCGGGTTCCGTCGCACCAGCAGCATTGTCAGCGAATTCTCAGATCTCATCCTGATTAAGTGAGCGCCATAAGCGCGCGCGCGGTTCTTAAGCCAGCCAGCCAGCCAGCCACTCTCCTTTATAACTGCCGCCGCGACTTAATCTGGAAGAAGATTATACGAGTCTTATATAAATCCTATTTTTAACGTTATCGCCGGAATCGGTGGAACACTTACTCGCGTGGGGAGGTACACCGGGACGAGTCTCCCGCGACGATCGCACGACTCTGTTTATTTAATATGCCGCTCACATAAGTGGAGTTGAAATCAGCAAGAGAGCGCGCGTGACAAGCTATCGATTATGCGAGCGATATGAATTTTAAATCCTGCCTCGGTGCTCCTCTCTATGCGGTCAGCATATTAATCAACGACGAGAATATGCCTGTCTCGCCATATTAATTGCTGAATCCGCTAACGGGGCTACTAACAACCCTCTCTTTCCCACCCCCTCTCCCCGTCCACCTCTCCGTCGGCGCGCGTCGTAATCCACACCAGGCGGCTTACTACACTTATCATAAATTAATCGCGAAGAAGCGTCCGTAGTATCACGATTGGCCCTTTCATGGAACACGAGCCTGCAGCCTAGTTGCGGCGAAAGAGTAAGTCGGTGTCACCTTTCTGTTGGCTTTCGCAGGCGCGGAATATGACACGGCTGCGGTGTAATTGAGTTGGGCGAAAGTTTCCCGTCGAATTGGCGGCGGGCAGTGGCGGTATAGTTTCCAGTTTACCAGAGTCCATCTAGCTCGTAAAGATTGTCACGGCGCGAATTAAGCGATGTCGATCGCGATTGCCGAGCTTCGGGCCGATCAACTGGGAAGGGGGTGGACTGATCCCCCCTCGGCCCCCCTCCTCCGCCTGTCCCCCTTTCTCCCACGGTGTCGGCCCGATCTTCGGCTGACCTGACGAACGCAATGTCGGTCGGCCATCAACCGCAGGCCCTCATCAGTTTACCTCAGGCACGTAAACTCGCCTCGTGAAACGCGAATTAGCGCATGTAACAGGGCGAAAAAGATTCCCGCGGACGCGTTTAACCAATCACGGGACCGCTTACAGCCTCCCACCGACCTTAAAGACGAGCGTACACTGTGTTCTCACACCCTCGAAATTCCATCGACTCCATGTCGCGCAGCCGTTCTTCCCGCAGCTTTCCGCTTCTCGGTCCAGCGATTTCTCGTAAACTTCGCCGATTGACGACGAACGCCGCGATCGCGCGCCGAGAGATCAATTGGGAACGACGAGCGATCTTCGCGGACACGACTGTCCTCGGCGTCGGAAGACGGAGGACCGAACGCTCTATCGCTTCTTTCCTCCTCCGAAACAAATGGCGATGCGTTCCGACGTCGCTGCACGCACTCGACGACGTTTCTCCTCACCACGCGCGTATTCTCCGCCGTGAACTTCTCCGTATTCGCTCTTACGGGAGGGCATCCCCCACCTGCGCCACGAGGTCGTCGACTGACATCGATGTCCTCCAACGCGCTTTCCTCTCTTCGCTCCGATCAATTAATCTCCGTGCCGGCGGAGCCGCGGCGACAACGGGCGTCCGCACAAATCGCTCTGATCAAATTCGATCTCTGCCGAGGGACTGCGCGAGGGACGTGACAGAGATCGCGCGGAGATCGCTCCATCATCGGAGCACCTCATCATCCCTCGGCATCCGGGAGGGAACGGAGTCTTGGATCTGCTCGAGAGAAACACTCCGGGCGACACCGATCGGACGATCGCGAGAAGCGCGGCCGGCACCCAAATCCAGGCCGGGTGCCCTGATCCCGATTCGATCACTCGCTTTCCCCGTCTTTCGACGATCGGCCGCGGAGAGCCGCAGATTTGCCGCAGCGGCCACCGACACGACGGATCTGTATCCGCGTACCCGTCCCTCTCTCGCGCACGCGGCGCCCTCTCCTCTGCGCCCTCCGTTTTCCACCCTCCACCCCTGCGTTCACCCTTTTCCCCTCCACGAACCTTCCCACTTTGCGTCCCCCCCTCTCTCTTTCTCTCTCTCTTGCCCTCTCAGTGCACCCACCCCCGTTGTGTGCCGTTCACCTTTTCCGGTTTCCTAGTCGCATAACTGTTTGCGGGCAGCACCGTCGAATTTTGGGTAGCGGTTCAATGATAGTAATATCCTCCCTCCCCTACATTCAAGCCCCTTCCCACTTGCCCCTTCAACATTCTTTGAGACCCTTCTTTACGCCTTGATCTCACGTCTCACGCGAGGGCAAGAATTCCGCCAAGATTACTTCACGTACCTCAGCGGAAATCGGTCGCAGTAAGGACGACAGAGGCGATGGAGGCGCGACAGCGCGGAATCCGCTGGAAACTGATAATGGTCTGACTGGTGCAGGCGCAGCTACTTCGTTCAAGGGAGAGATCGATTTTCCCTTCGGAACCGCCGCGACATTAAGGCTACGTTTTGAACGTCGAGCTAGGATTAACCGGGTTCTGCCCGCTGATTCTGCGTTATCGACTAGGCGCACTCACGAGTTCAGGTCCCTGCAAACTTTGACTTCGATCTGACCTATCAGTAGCATCACTACTTTACGGATAGCTTCGTAGTTATCAACAATATCAAAACTAGATAAATAGACAGCTATTGTTTAGGTAACAAAATCCATGAGAGAAGTAAGGAGAGATGGCAGAATAGGAAATGGACTAGTTAGAGATGATAGAGGAACTCTCAATCGCGCTAGTCAAAGTGCGACTTGTTCCGCGCTTCCGAACTTCTATTACAAAACATTTCCAGGATATCGATGAATAGCCATTGTTTTTAGACAACAGATTTAGCGAGCGGCGCGCGATGAGGATGAAAAGAATCGATTCCTTCACAGAATGAGAACGGCAATTGGTTGGTGAAGAAAGAATCAAGCAAAGGCGCCGGGAAACGTCTCGTTTTCTGCATTTTTTTTCAAGCTTTTATTACAAGAATATAGTATAAACTTTTGCTCGCGATAGCGCTCTCCGTTGCGCGTGAATTTTTATACATATAATTGCATCTCTCAACCCCTCGCGCAGGCCACGATAGTCATAGCTTTTTTTCGATAGTTTACCGATATATATATAATAATAGATCTTACGATTAGCTTATCTCGTCTAACTTGTGATCTATAGGTATATTTGGTTTTTCTTCTTCTGATTTAACTGGAAACATACTTGGCAATTCACGTCTAATAAGTACAACGAAGCATTTTTTTTTTTATCTCGACCTCAACTGTGGCGTCTTCGGTCGTCTTCTTCGCGCGTTCTATCTGCTGTAAATTTTTTTTTGTGACCCGGCGTCACCCGCCTGTAATTGATATGTCAATTTTTTTCCTTACAGCGAAGTTCCAGCTCGTTCCGGGGAGAAGCGTAGTTACTGCGAATGTCGATTTCACGGCAGTGCTGGGTATTATTTCCAGCTATTGGCTGAAAAAGCAGATAATAAGATTTTAATACAATTAGAGAAAAAATATGCTTTTTTATAAGTTGTGCCAGTTTCTAAGCAAAAAGATTATATCGATAAACCAGTAAAAATTTCCATAATTAAAGATAAAAAAAATTGTGGGCAATTTTTAAAAATTTTGCGACGATTGGAATGTATATAGATATTAAATCTATTTTTTATGTCTGTCTAAGAGTCTGCGATTAATTTTGTTTAATACCTTTGTAATATATGTCCCTGTTCATCGTCGGACAATTCTTCGGACCCTAAACACATGGTATAAAAATTAGCGCGATTATTCTTCTAATAGAGAAGACACGTGTTGTGCTATTATGACGCACCTGAACATTGAAATCAATGTTCGTCCGAACGGGACGATGATGAAGGGGTTGTGGTGGTCTAAAGTTATTCGCAAGTGGTGCATTTGGCTGCTTTTCGTCCCCTTGCATTAATTGTCTCAGAGCGTGCAGCTGTAATAATTATGAAAACGCAAGAATTATAAAATAAAACGTAATATAAATAACATAGAGTTTAATATTTTCGTTATTGGTTTTTTACAGTGGATTTGTGATATAAAATAAGAAAAAAGAAAAAAATACTGTTACATAATTTAAAATAATATTTTGAAATAAATATATAGTATAATTTTATTTATATAAAAAAATTGTATTTAACTATGCATTTGTTTTTTTATTTTTTATTTATGATCACGAGTAAGCTTGGCCATCATATAAATATTATGCTTAAAAGATAAAAATAAAAATATCCTTAATCCGAATCAATATTCGTTAGTGAATAACATGGTATGAGGTGCAAGTGATTTTATTGCCTCGCCGAATGCGATCGATATCAATAATAGCAATATTTGCAAGTCTGATGGGACAGCTAATTTAAATACATGATCGATCAACACAAATATTATTATATGACTGGAAAGTTGCTCAAGTTATACATCATAAACAAACATTTGCCGTTTATCACGCGAAGTTATTTTTATATAAGATCTCTTATAAAACTCAATTCTATTAATAAAGTCACCTACTTTATTAACTTGAGGAAAAACAAGTTGCAACTCGATGAATTAATTATGTATTCGCCAATATGCATATTTTATGCATTATTAAAACAAGATTATCGCAAATAATTAGATTTTATACATTTCCATTATTGTTATGACATAAATGATTCATTCATTATTCTTAAAGTCAAAATGTCTCTCCTTCAATTTTACGCTTGACAGAACAAACGAGTAAATATAAAATACAGTTTTTTTTCTTAGAGATTCCCGTAAAACCCGTCGAGTGTGATTTATGATAGCATTGCTCCAAGATACGAGCTTAGTAAGTGCCTCATTTCCACCCTTATTTCGCAACTTACTTCAGCTACTCGCGAAGCACGCGGCGTTCCTCCGATGTTTCAAAGACTCTGTCCCTTTTAATGATCGGAATTGCATAATTGAGTGGGGAGAGGGGGGTCGCCTTACTTCACGTCGCGCGCGCGAACGCGCTCGACTGCGGGGAGGGAGGGGGGGAAGGGGAAGGCGTGTGCATGCATTTTATATAAAAGCCGGCAACGGGCGATACTTGCCTGCTGCTTGGTGATGTATATAGGCTTGTTGAGGATGATCCATGTGGTGGTCTCGTGACACGCCGGCATCGTGGTGGAGCCGTCGTACGTCATGTAATGCTTCGTGTCCGGCAGAAGTTCGCGCACCCCGAAACGTTTAATTTCCATGGCCTGCCCTGTGCAATTCATACGATCGATAACGTCAACTCCGTTCACGTATACACGTATGCATACACGTGCGATGTTGTATACGCGTGTTATACTGCCCGATTGCCGCCCGACGCCCCCGGTACACACAGCTGATACGTATATTGTTACGTATATCGCTAAAGTTATCGCGCATACCGCTCGATCGTATTTGCATACGTCAAGGAACACTCGCGCTCCCTTAAAGAATGACGGTAATTATCGATTTATCTTCTCTCGAAAAAGTTGGCGACAATACCTCGCGCGAAGTTTTTAGAAAGTTATAACGCATGCCGCCATCAAACTTTCGAAGGTACATCAATCTTGCAACTTTTTCATTCAAATTGTATTTTTATATCAAGACATAAATTTTTTAAGATGAAAGAAGAAGCAAGGACACACGCATACATATGTGCGTGTGTGTGTTTCAGTCTTTATTAATTATTAATTTGCGGAGAATAATTCCTCGTTAAAATGTTATTTGAATTAAATACATCGCTGTTCGGTATCGGTGCGAAAAATGATATTTTAAAAATATATTCGTCCGTCGTTATGAAAGGAAATATAATATCCCGCGTTAATTCATTCGATATGCTAATCTTGACTGATATGGGAACTCCCTGAGAATTTTTAAACTCGCGCGGCTAAAATTCGCCAGCTAAAACTAGATTATCGTTTTCGCTAAATTGATCGCTACTCCCCCGCGTCGCACTGTTACCCCAGAATTCGTTACGTTATCGAATCTCTCACCTCCGTATTTGATTTTATCCAGCTGCTGCGTGAACGTTCTCAGCTCCGGGTTCGAGAGGTCGCCCAACTGAAAAAAAAAAAATCGAGACGGCCTATGACGTGTCGCTCATTCCGATCTTTATTCGACGTGTGATAAGGGCATCTACGGGAGAGATTGGGCATGTACCTGCAAAAGGAGCGATACCGCCACGATTCCCTGCGCCTTGTGCAGGGCGTCCGAAAAGTTGTTGTAGAGCTGCGAGTTGAAGCCGAATATCTGAAGCTGCGAGAACAAAAGGGGCTTTGAAACGTATTTAGAGACTTAAGATTAAAGAACTTTCTTGTCTTTTCAACAAAACAGTACAATCCTTTTACTTAACGCATCAATGAGAATGTAATTTGGATTAAATTCCTGATTTTCTACAAACAAAAGCTTTGAAGTTGGAAACTGAAAAGATCGCGAGGAATGTCGGTACTTTTTTTTTTATAAATATTTTGTTTAGGGGTTTGTTGTCTCCATTCGTTTCCGTACCTCGGCGGGAAATGCGTGTCCGTCGACGGTGTGCTCGCTGCCGATGCGATCGTCGGCGCCGAAGTGCAAATGAATCTCGTGAAACTGATAACGATAACTGAGCGGACCGCCGGAAATGTTGACGGGATGACGGGTGTCGTTCTCCACGGCGAACACGACGCTGTGGCCGGTGTTCGCCAGTACGCCGTTGATTCTGTGCTTGTCGAGATGAAGCGGTTGTAAATTCGGGTCGAAAAGCAGTTGGGTAGGCTCGAGATTGACCGGTGATTGTCTTCGACCTTTGTTACAGAGCCACCATTCCGGGTTGATGAGACCCCAGAAGGCAGGACCTTTGCGATTGAGGGATTTTTTAAGGAGATATATATAAAAATAACAGAGGGAATATTGTCGACAAAAAAAAACAACATCGAGAGAGAAATTTATAAGAACAACCGGATTCGGATGGCTTACCGGAGATACCGTCGTACGTCCACCATTCCTCCCAGCTAACGGGTGTCGATTCTGCAAATGTTTTGTTATTAACGAGCGATATAATCTCCATGAGAAATCCGATAATTCAGCATAACTTTATGAGAGCTGCACAAATGCATTGTATCGTGCCGAGGGAAGGGACAAAGGACTCTTTGTGCAAATCGAATCGCATTAAGTAAATATGTCGGACTTCATAATCGCTTCTAATAGCACGGACATTACTTATTCATCGAAATATGATCCAATTCTATGAATTAATAAAAATGGCGTAAAATTTAATTAGGTGCATATGAATGTAACAGAATTAAAATACAATATCAGCTAAATTAAATAACATTTTATACGTCGGATTTTATACACACATTGTTTTATTTTAATATACTGTTTTCAGATAAAAAGAGAAGATATTTTTACGGCAAGCGTTAAAAATAATATTGTGAGAAGTCGATATAAAGGATTGCGAAACTTTCAAGATTTTTCTATATTTTTGGGTAAGATCGCGCGTTGAAAAATATTAGAGAGCGCATAGCAGCGCTCGACATACGAACCTTTTATCAAAATGACAACAAACACTCCCCAGACACCCAGGAAGACGGAACTGAAGGGGGCCATTCCTAGCGCTGCGCGGTCTTCGTCAATTGATCATCATTCGGCTCGTTTCTGCGACACGGAGAAAAGGAGAACCAGTTGATTCACTGGCTAGGCACGAAAGTGCTCGCGTGTCGCGCACCCACTCACGTGCCTCTCCTCTCCGAGGCCCGCGGAGGTCGCGACTTTCGCCCTCTCGGGTAACTTCAACAGCCTGCGAACCCACCCACGAGAGACCCCGACGAGCCCGATAACTTTCGAGGGAGAGAAACTTGACGATCCGCGATAACGTAATTGATCCGTCAACTGCGTCGCCCCCTCTCGCCCTCCAAAAAAGAAAAAAAAAGAAGAAGAAAATCCGCGAACTGCCGTCGTCGGGTTCTAATCTAAGTAATCGCTCGGCGTCACGCAACGCGACAACTCCGTCGCCGACGAACATCGACATCGAATTTGCATCTCCGACGCTCGTTCCGCACGAGAGGGTTATCGCGCGGCACGATAACACTCGCCGAGCGATCGTCGTTCGTGCGAATTCTCGCGTATCGGCGTGCCGTTACAACGAGTTCGAAACCAGATCGGTCATCCGTTGTCTTCAGCAAGGGAAAAGCTCTCTCTCTCTCTCTCTCTCTCTCTCTCTTTCTTGCAATGCTAATCGCGATATTCTCGTGGAACGCGAGCGACAAAGAAAGTACCGAGTGTGGCGCAAGTCCGAGCAAATGCGAGCAAGAAAGAAGAGACAAAATCCGCAGTCATCGTTGTCCGGCGTCGTTTAAACGGGGGCGGGGTTCTCTTCTCGTTCGATCCCCCACTCTGGTCCATTCTGGAGTCCACTCCACCCCGGGTTCCTCCACGGCACTCGAGCCGGTGTATTCTTAGGTCAGGGAAAACTCGAGTGCGCGGCTCGCTTCGATCGATCGATCGGATCTCCACACGTCCGTTCACGCGAAGAAGAAAAAAAAAGAGAAGAAAAAGAAGAGTCCTGCCGGAGAGAAAGAGAGAGATAGACAGGGAAAGAGAGAGAAAGAGAGAGTACGTGCTCTCCGTGCGCTCGTGAATTTCAAAGGGTGGCCACTCTTCGTCGTCGCCGCGTCAGCCGCGCTACTTTCTCTCTTTTTCTCTCTTCTTCCCTATCTCCTTCTATCCCTCCCTCCATCTCTCTCTCTCTCTCTCTCTCTCTCTCTCTCTCTCTCTCTCGCCTTGACTTCGCCGATGTGTCTTCGAGATAGATACTTTTATCGCGCATCGAAACTCGCCGCTGAAATATCTCAAGCCTTCGCGCCCATCGATCGTGCTTCGCACGTAGCCACTTCATCCTGCTTTAGTCGCCTATCGACCGATACAAACGGACTTTCTCCCAAAACGCCAGAAGTTCGTGTTCACTGTTGAATTCTCATGGTTCTCGTCGGGAGGAGACACGAGTGCAACGAGAAAATAGCAGCCGTTTGTTTACACCAATTGGATTAGTTAAAATTAGAATTAACAATAAACTGATCCTTTTTTGCTCGGTTAAAAATATTGTATAATATCCTATCTATATTATGGTATATTATAATCATCCATGATATAAATAGAGAAAGGGAATTAAACTAATCTGGGTTAAAAGCAATCCTTGCATCGATAAAACCGGCTCTCTCTAATCACCGCCATTATTTGACGCTTTTTTATCTCAACGGCCGATCGTTTAAATTTTCAAAGTGATATGTTTTAAAACTGGCAATTTGATATTATGACACGATGTTATGGCATTTTTCAAATGTCATAGCATCATGTCATTTGATGCTATGACATTTTTTTAAATTTATCATCATCATATTTATTTCTATCAGATAAATAATTCAGAATTGAGAGAAACGTCAGTAATATTTGGAAAAGTAGATTTTTCGGTTACAACTTAGTTTTTTCTAAAACATTGTATATATTATACGACTGATACTAATAACAAAATACAAAATTGATTACTCAAATTTTGACGAAAATGCAATTTTACAAAACCTATCTATATTATTTTCGGCAGTAACTATTGAAAACAATGACAATTATACTTATCATTACATTGTATAATTTCTTTGTAAGATATCACGTTCATAATCAGAAAAATATTATGCTATGACATCATTTAATCTAATTTGGTCGATTTAATTATTCACTTTACTCGTGCATAAAGAACATCCAATTATCGCTCTATCGTTCGAAATAATTAAACGACACTTGTTACGCATTCAGCCCCGTTGGACTTTATTCGGTGACTCAAAAGGGGATCAACTGGTTATTTCGTGAAGGTCCGACGGACCTACGGGGAAACGACGCGCGTAGAGGAATCTTGATCGATTTACCGTATTAACCAGAGCGCAAGCATTCGTCTCTTGTTGCTTCGGCGTTTCCAGGCCGAGCGAATGGCCAAACTCAAATTGTTATCACCGCTAATCGATTAATCGAACGACGGTACCCACCGCGCCGGCGAGCTTCTCCATCCTGAGCAACAAACATTCCATCCGCGCGTTCCGAATCCCAGACAACGCGGTGGTAATCTCGACGACGTGGGTGTCTCGTTCGCACAGAGAGAAGAGCGTGGCAGCAACGGTCCTACCTTTCTCACCGGGGATATCGATCGTCTCTCTCTCTCTCTCTCTCTCTCTCTCTCTCTCTCTCTCTCTCTCT